GGACTACACAAAGAAACCCTGTCTCAAATAAAACAAAAATAAAGGGGGGGGCTTTTGTTTTCATCTTTCATGCTATGAGAGCCATTTCTTCTCAAAAGAAAAATGAATAATTTTCGTAGGTATTCCTCTAGGGAAACCATGACCTATCTAGTCTCAGGTTATTGATCAGTTATAGGTTCCATCTCATGGACTGGGCCTTAGGTCCAATCAAAAAATGGTTGGTTATCCCATAACTTGTGCCTCTGTTGCACTAGTGAGCATGACATGCAGGTGAGTTATTGGAGCTCACAGTGCTCTTAGCTGGGTGAGTTTATTCCTCCAAGGGGTGTGCATAACACCATCCAGCACTGTGAACACCAGTAAGTAGGGGTGAAGCTGCCAGTTGAGTACTAGCTGGTTTTCTCCATATTCCACTTGTAAGGATGTGGTACCTTTAGCAATAGGGTCTTATCATCATGTTATAGAGAATACCCAATATCTTTGGCACCTAATGTTTGGTGAAAGGGGTCTCTATGGTATTGCTTTGTCTAATAGCTCAAAAACATGCCTTTCTCACCTATGCCCAAGTTCACGAAATAATGACTCTGAGACATCTTCTATATGAATAAATTCCTAGGCCAAATGTTTTGGCTCATTCCCTGAGTAGTTTATAACTTAATCATCTCATTATTTTATTCTAAGTTCTGCCACATGGCCAGTTACCTGGTCCCCAGTTACATGTGACAGTCTTCCTCTGTGGAGCAGAATCTCCTCTTTCTGCCTGTCTCTCTCCCAGAATTCTTCTCTCTGTACTGGAACTCCTACCTCCCTATTTCTTGCCTAAGCTAATAGGCCAACAGCGTTTTTATTGACAGGTGATGCTTCCGTACAGGACAAGAGATTCTCTTTACATCATTTGATGTCTAGTTGGTGTGCTGTCCCTCCCCCCCACACACACATTATATGGTGACTTCATTTAAACTCCTTTTATACATGTATATATTTTAAGAAGTTTCTACAATAGCACAAGTTTCCATGTGGTTTTTTGAAAGGCCTTGAGAGTTAGCTGTCCCTTCCCATAGTCCCTCTCTTACCCTACCTCTCCATCTCCCCTTCATTTAGCTCTTTTTCTAGTTTCTACTTTATTGCTTTATACACTGTATTCTATTTTCCTTCACTGGAGGGTCCCCTCTTCCTACCTCCTCCTTGACTATTTAACGTCTTTGAATATTATCCCATTGTGCAAATGTACCACATTTTCATTGTCCATTCACCATTTGATGGACACCTGGGCTTTTTCCAACTTCTGGCTTTTATGAATAGAGCAGCAGTGAACACGGTTGAGCAAGTTATTCTGTAAAAAGATATAGGGTCCATGGGGTATATGCCCATATAGACTGCTATGCCCATGGATCAGTGCCTTGCTCAGTCCTCACCAGGGAAGAAGCTTCTTGCAGTCGATGGGAATTAACATGAAGACCCACAACCGGACAATGTGTGGAGAGGGAGAGACTTTGGAGCACTCAGCCCTAAGTGGGGTGTTTTACTCACACCCCTTCCCTCAAGGCTCAGGGGTTGTAGATGGAAGAGAAGGCAGGAAGATTGGAAGAGCAAGAGAGGGAGGTGCACAGATGAACTCACAGAGACTGTGATGGCATCCATAAGACCTGCATAAACTCAACCCAAACAAAACCCAGCACAGAGGAGCAGACACGGGCACAAAGCTTACCCCTAGCCCAAGTAGCTGTTTGCCATTTGTACCTGCTGGGCGAGGAGAAGTCAGTTCTCTTCAACATAGTGACACTAGGTAAAAAACAACCTCTCCAGGGCAGGCTCTGCACCCAGGAGTAGCAGCTGAACAACACAAAATAAACCCAGTTTGCAGTGTGTGTGTGTGTGTGTGTGTGTGTGTGCGCGCGCGCGCGGGCGTGCGTGTGTTGTCTTGTTATGTAAAAGAAAAATAGAACATGGAATTGGATGATGGAATGATCTGGGAGGAGTTAGGGCAGAGGAAAGAATATGATCAAAATATATCATATAAAAGTCCAAAAAATAAAAATTTAAAGGGGAGAGAAAATGAAGAAATCTTATAGAATCTGAATTTGTTTCAGACCCTGGCTTACCTCTTTGGATTCACAAGCCACTCTTGAAGAGTGAAACAAAGTTTTGGGTTTTGTTTGTTTGTTTGTTTGTTTTTGAAACAGGGTTTCTCTGTGTAGCCCTGTCTGTCCTGGAACTCCTTTTGTAGCCCAGGCTGGCCTCAAACACAGAGATTAGCCTGTTTCTGCCTCCCAAGTGCTGGGATTAAAGGTGTGTGCCACCACCATCCCTTTGCAAAGTGAAGTCTTAAAACTTGTTTTCCCTCCTGTTTAAGCTGCTCATTTGTGTGCCCTGTGTCCCTTCCTCTGGCAGCAGAGCAGGTGTCTTGAGCTATAGGCATTTTTCATCCAGGACATAACTCCAGTTCCTGTAAGATGACATCTGACCACATCAAAGTTTTTCTTTGGGCCAAAGTACTTGATGAGGAGACATTGGTTTCTGTCTGCGAGAGGTCCTGGGGACTCCTGACTTAGTGTCCTCTGAGGCATTCATTTAACCAAGAGGCTTCCCAGAGCTACTCAAGTCTGGCCCCATGCTTGGCAAGGTCCTGGGATGGGCACCTGTGCCCATGGAGCCCACTCAGGCCAGAAGCACAGTTTCAGGGGTTGGAGTAAGCCTCTGAGGTCATTCCCCTCGTATGAGCTGCTTTGTCATGATGTGACATGGCTGTTTGATGTCACTCTTCCTAAGCTATTGCTTCCCATTGCTTGCAAATGAGAATAATAATCATAAAACCTGCTGATGGGGTTATTGAGACCAAAGGAGATTATCCACAAGTGTGCTTGGCACAGAGTCTGTTACACAGGAAATGCTCAATAAAGGTTGAAGGCCGAAATTGGTGGCCAACTATATTTCAGTCATAAAGGACAATGAGTGTGTTTGTGTGTGTGTGTGTGTGTGTGTGTGTGTGTATGAGAGAGGGGAGAAGGAGGGAGGGGGAGAGAACATACATGTGTGTGTGTGTACCTGTGTGTGTGCATATGTATGTGCATGTGTGTGTGAGCATACATGTACGTGTGCATGCGTGCATGCATGTGTGTGTGCGTGCGTGCATGTGCCTGTACGTGCATGTGAGAGACAGGGAGATCAAAAAAGAGAGAGAGCATACACGTGTGTGTGCCTGTGTATGTGTGCATGTGTATGTGCGTGTGTGTGCGTGTGTGCGTGTGCGTGTGCATGTGTGTGAGTGTGTGTGTGTGTGTGTTTTATGGCAGACAGCAGGCCTGAAGAATCAAGGGCTAGAATTCAGAGGAATGGAATGTTCAGCAGGTCAGACACCTCACCCAGGGATGAAATGAGCAGGCTAGAGAAGCAGCCTCCTTTCAGATGGGTAACAGCCCAGGAAGAGGCACAGAGGGCCTAAGTGCAGAGGACAGGGGGTATGAAGCAAACTTCCATGTATGTTCAACGCCAAGGCTCAGCCAAGCCCGAACCGCCGCCATGCCTCTTGCCAATGCAAACCAGCCTAAGCAAAGACAGTGTCTTGTGTTTCTCACACTGAAGAGCTGGAGCTAGGAGTTCAGGCAGAACAAAACCAGTTTAAACTGGGCTATTGGGAACTGGTCTCTAGCTCCCATGGTCTCTTGTTTCCATCATAGTTTTATTCCTGTGGTTGATTGCTGCACATGGTGGCAAAATCTCCCCTTTTGAAAGCGAAAGTCCTGGGGCTACCATTCATGGACACACATGCCTTCCTCTAAACCAATCTCAGAGACAGGGGCGTGGGGAATGGGATAATCTGATTGGTGCAATCTTGTATCTAGCATTGGCTTGGTTTCATCTATGCACATGAACGGAGAACGGTGCCCAACTATATTTCAGTCACAAAGGGCCATATGTCAGTGTACGTGTGTGTGTGTGTGTGTGTGTGTGTGTGTGTGTGTGTAAAAGGATAAGAACGAGCAAAACAAAGGATGTGCTCAGTTATCCACATGTGACACTGGCTATCTCTAGAGCCAGGCTGTCCCTGGGCATGTATTTCTGCTGCAGTCACCATAGGCTTGGTCCTTGGGTAGGAGATTCTGGACAACTGGTGAGAAGAGTCTTCCCCTTTCCCAGGGACTACTGACCCCACAGATGGTGCTGACAGACAAGACAGAGCCAGCAGCAACTAGAGCTGGCACCGCACCCGCTCCAGCTAGATTCCCCTGCTGTCCTTCAAGAAGCTGTGAAGGACAAACCAAAGCAGGTACCTTATGGGGGAAGAACCTTAGGAGAGGCTGAAAAGCCGAGACTCCTTAAACCAAGGCTCTGCAGCCCAGCCATGGTCTGAGAAGGCACTGTGGGTAATGTCTCTGCTCTGCCATTCTGTGCCCAACTTCTTGGAATGTTCTAGCACAGCCAGACACACTCTTTATTAAGTGTACATTACTTTGTGTGCTCATCTACCCCACTCCTTTTTGTTTGATTTTCAATACAGGGTTTCTCTGTACGGCTTTGGCTGTCCTGGAACTAACTCTGTAGATCAAGCTGGCCTTGAACTCAGAGATCTTCTGCCTCTGCCTTCCCAACGGGATTAAAGGTGTGCACCACCACTGTCCTTCTCTTAACACACATTCTTTGTTCCTTTCCATTCACTCTATAACTATGATAGGCTGCAGTGGGCTATGCTCTGTACTAGGGTCTACACTGTGCCCCAACAGAGCCTACAATCTGGCTGAACACAGACCTCTAAAAGTACATTGGTAACTGTATGGATGCCTCCTCCTTCTCCTCCTCCTCCTTTTCTTCCTCCTCCTCTTCCTCTTCTTCCTCTTTCTCTTCCTCCTCCTCTTCTTCCTCTTCTTCCTCCTCCTCTTCTTCCTCCTTCTCCTTTCTCCTTCTTCCCCTTCCCCTCCCCCTTCTCCATTTCATTCTCCTTCTTCTTCCTCCTCTTTCTCTTCCTTTTCTTCTCCTCCCTCTCCCCCTCCTCCCCCTTCTCTTAAAATATGAATCACTTCACCAGTTTGTGTCATCCCTGTGCAGGAGACATGCTAATCTTTGTATCGTTCCAATTTTAGTTATATGTGCTGCCTAAGCTGGCACCATTCTTGTTTGTTTTAATGAATGTGTTTCTGTAATCGTGATGGTGGGCTTTTTCTTTTCCCCATCTTGTTTTGTATTTTAAGACAGGTTCTGATGTAGTCCAGGGTCTGGAGCTCATGGGCCTTTTGTCTCCACTTCCCCAGTGCTGGGATGACAGGCATGTGTCTCCATTCCAGGCTTTCCTACATCTTTATTTTTAATGACACACACTATGCATAATCGGTCATCCTTATAAAACAGCAACCATATATGGGACCCTCAAATGGCTCGGCCAGCAAAGGAACCTGTCACAAAGCCAGAAGATCCAAGTTAAACCCTGAAGATCCACATGGTGGAAGAGAGAAATGACTCTTGCAATGTTTCCACATATATACACAAATAAATGTTAAAATTTTAAAAATACATCAGCAAAACACACACACACACACACACACAATTAAAACCACTTGATTTTCTCCTTCTCAGCCCTCTATTCAGATTTTCTCCTTCTAGCCCCTCCCAAAAAGGAGCCTCAGTTGGTGGCCCATGCCTTTAATTCTAGCTCTTGGATGGCAGAAGGATCTCTGTGGGTTCAAGGCTATCCTGGTCTACCTAGTGAGTTCCAGGACAGCCAGAGTTACAAAATAAGACCTTGTCTCAAAAGAAACGAAAACATACACATCAATATGCATATGTACATGTCCTAATATGTCAGCATACAGAGATATATAGCTGGGTTGACATTTTTTTGTTGTTTCTGTGTTTTGAGACAGAGTGTCACGTACCCCAAGATGTCTTTAAGTGCACTATCTATCAAATGTAGCCTTGAGCTGAGCATCCTGCTCCCAGCTCTGAAATCTTGGGATTACTGTGTTACCACCATATTCATCTTGCATTGACTTCTTTTTGTTTTTAAGATTTATTTATTTTATGTATGTGAGTACACTGTTGCTGTCTTCAGACACATCGGAAGAGGGCACCAGATCCTATTACAGATGGTTGTGAGCCACCATGTGGTTGCTGGGAATTGAACTCAGGACCTCTGGAAGAGCAGTCAGTTCTCTTAACCACTGAGCCACCTCTCCAGCCCCTCACTGACTTCTTTTCATTGATCCAAAGGGTGTAGAGTCAGCTAGCCCTCTTGAACCTTTGCCCCCAGGAACCCAATCTCCTACCAGATCAGTCCACTGGACACCAGGCTTCAGTGCTTCTTTTCATAGTTAGTAGGCCAATAGTCAGCAAACTTTGTCTATTAATGGGCAAGTTGTGAATACTTTAGGCTTTGCAGGTTCATGATCTCTGTGGCAACTAGTCAAGTCTATCATTAAGAAAGCAGCCATTGCCTTTGGATCCCTTATAACTGGGCTGTCTTGTCTAGCCTCAATAGAAGAAGATGCACACAGAAGATGTGCCTAATCCTACTGCAACTTGGTATGCCAAAGCTGGTTGATATCCACGGGGAGCCTCCCATTTTCTGCAGAGAAGGGGAGGAGGGGTAGATGGGAGGGAGGGGAGGGAAGAAGGAGGAACTGGAAGGAGAGGAGGGAGGGGAAGCCGAGATCCAGATGTAAAGTGAATAAATAACTTACTCAATAATAAAAAAGAAAGAAAGAAAGCCATTGACAACACATATTGAAAAACTATGGCTATGTGTCAATAAAACTTTATTTGTGGACACTGATTTTAATTTTATGTACCATGATGCTTTTTTTTTTTCAGTACTAGGGGCTTACCCTAGGGCCATATCCATGATAGGCAAATACTCTACTACCAAGCTGTATCTCCAAGCTGAAGCTTTTGGTTGTTTATCAACTATTGAAAATTCTCAGTATCATTCTGATCGATAGCTATACCATGACAGGCATGAGGCCAGACTTGATGTGGAAGTGCTTTGTTGACATCTAGTCTCTGCACAAAACACACACAAGCAAATAAGATGCATGGACACTCTCAGCGCTCGGTGATGTCAGTGTGTGACACAAGGAAACCGGGGTATGTGTTGCAGAGACCATGCAATACCCACTCATACAAACGTCCCCAGTTTCGTCTCCGGTAGTCTATTTCACCATGATTTCCTTGGCTTACTACTGACTGGTGAACACTTGGATTGTTGTCTTTTGCTATTGTAAAACATGTCATTGTAAAACTCTGGATATATTTGAGTGTTTTCTGAGGCATCGACAGCACACGATATCACTTACCTACTTCAGGTATATACCTCAAGGTCAGTGTATTTACAGACATTATCTCCCAAACTCCATTCCCCTCATCCACGGCACCCACCTCACATCCATATCCTCCTACATAGAGTAGGATATGACTACATGAAATCTTAGCTTAAACAAAACAAAACAAAAATAATCACCATATATCCTATTAATTCCACTCCAAGATAGATAGCAAGCACGGATAAGGGTACAAACTCATACATGAATAATCAAAGCAACACTATTATAATAACCCAAAGTGTGAAACACTCTGAATATCTACAAACTGATGAGTAGATAGTTAAAATAACTGCAGAGCCACACAGTGGAGTCTCTCGTCTATCAGTGCTCTGTTCTCTGTGTCTGAAGATTTGCTTGACTGGGGCATTCGTAGAGACGGAGTTGTGCTTAGTATTTCGTGAATGACTTCTTTCATTTTAGAGGGTTTTTTCAAGGTTTGTCTGTGTAGCATGTGTTGTTTTGTATTTCTTTTCATCCTGGATGAGTAAGACTCCACTGTGTGGTTCTGCAGTTATTCAGCTTGTTTCATATGTTGGGTTATTATTATAGTGTTGCTGTGAATATTCATGTCTGAATTTGTGTTCTTATCTATGTTTGCTATCTATCTTGGAGTGGAATTAATAGGATATATGGTGATTATTTTTGTTTTGTTTTGTTTTGTTTTATTTGAAATAAGATCTCATGTAGCTTGCCAGGTGGTGGTAGTGGTGGTGGTGGTGGCATTGGAGACAGTAGCAGTGGAGACACACTTCTTTAATCCCAGCACTTGGGAGGCAGGGGCAGACAGATCTCTGTTTTCAAGGACAGCCTGATCTACAGAGTGAATTTCAGGACACCCAGAGCTATGTAGTAAGACCCTATCTCAAAAGAAGAAGAAAAAGAAGAAGAGGAAGAGGAGGAGGAAGAGGAGATGGAGAAGAAGAAAGAAAGAAACAAACAAACAAACAAAGGAACAAACAAACAAAGGAACAAAGAAAGAAGAAAAGAAAGATTTCATGCAGCCATGTAGCATAAGCTGGCTCCCAGTTCACTAGGTAGCCGAGGATGACCCTTGGCTGATTCCTGACTCTCCTGCCTCCATCTTCCCAGTCCTGGGATTTCACCAAGAAGATGCCACATATATGGTAATTCTATGTTTAACTGCTTTGAAGGACCTCCAGTGGCTGCACTATCCCATGTTCTCCTTTAAAATATCTAAGCTTCTGGTTTCTGTATCCCACCAACACTGTCTGTCCTTCTCCATCTTTTATTTCTATATAAACATCGTGGTGGATATGAAGTTTCTCACTGTGGGGTGTGAGTAATAACCAAATATATTCTGGGATCTACTTTTCTCACCTGGAGCCCTTGGGAAGTGTTCGTGCTATTACATACATCTCCTACTGATTGGCTGCTAGCTGCCTCCAGCCAGTACAAACACCACCCGTCACACTAATGAGTGGTTTTGTTTTGCCTCTTGTATTCAGAGAAAGCATTTGATTCCTTTTAAAGTTTTTTATTACATTTATTCATATATATATATATATATACTTTTTTTTTACTGTGTGTACTTGTGTGTAGGTCAGGAATAAGTCTTCTCTTTCTACTATGTGAGTCTCAGAGTTCAAACACAAGTCTTCACACTTGGCAGCAAGCACCTTTTTCCCACTAAGCCCTCTTGTTTGTTCAGGGGAAGCATTTCTTGAAAGTCATCTTCGAGTCATTGGATTAAAGGGTACATATGTTGGGACTGGAGAGACGGCTCAGTAGCTAAGAGCACTGACTGCTCTTCCAACGGACCTGGGTTTCCTAGTACCCACACGGCAGCTCACAGCCATCTGTTACTCCAGCTCCAGGGGATCTGACATCCTCTTTTGGCCTCTATGGACACAAGGCACACATACAGTGCACAGATATGCATGAGGGGAAAACGCCTATATACATACAATAATAAAATAATTTTAAAAGAGGTCATTTGTTAATTAATTTTGACAATATTAACATTTACTCTGTGAGAAAGCTGTACAGATACATGGTCCAGCAATGGTGGGTGGGAATGTTCATCCCTGCACACCAGCCCAGGATAATGGCCCACCTGTGGCTCTCCTCCTGAACTCCAGGGTGCTGCCCCTTGACC